AAGAAAGGAATAGAATAGAATAGAATAGAATAGAATAGAATAGAATAGAATAGAATAGAATAAGTAAGGAATAGCATAGAATAGAATAAGAATAGAATAGAATAGAATAGAATAGAATAGAATAGAATAGGTGTGGAAAACATTAATAAGTCACTTTTATCAGTGCCGTTTGAACGGTCACTAAACAAATTGTTGTAACATAAGGACCCCCTGTACTAAATTTTCTTTCTGATGGGAAATATAATTGCATTTATAAGCCATCGAACGGAGAATAAGCTACCACTTCTAAATGGCCCAGAATTTGACTCCCATCTCACACTAAATTTAAGTCTTCGTCTCCTTTCCTCTCTCTCTCTCTCTCTCTCTCTTTTTCTGCTTACCAATATGAATATTGCGCTTTTTGCTTCTCCATCAGACATACCAGAGTCTAGACTCTCAATGGGGAGGGGAGAATAATCCGCCCGAAATTCTTTCAAAGGTCATGTCCCTCCCCCCCCCCCCCAGGTTGGGTGGTCCTCTTGAGCCAGTGCAGGAAGGGGGGCGGGGGAGGGGGGAGCCCTGGAAAACACAAAAAAAAGATTGAAGAAAGAGTGTGGGAAGGGTGCCGGAGTGAAGGAAAACACTTCTCCTCTGAGCCTTCCTCGGTCACTTGAGCAAAGGGCCAGCAGGAAGAAGAGGGAACTTTTAACTCACAGCCTTTCTCTGCCCAGAAGTTACTTTTCCCCCCACTCTCTTTTCTGAAGTTGCCAGTGGCAGGAAGGAAAAAAAAGAACAATTCAGTCACACTGCTGTGAGTGAAAATGTCTGGCCTTGTTTGTAGACTTATAAGACATACACAGACGCTCTCCCAGCCCCCCCACCTTCTCTCTCTCTCTATGTATATATCTGTCTCTCCCTATCTCTCTTCCTCTCTATCTCCGTTTCTCTTTCTCTCACTCTGTCTGTTTCTTTCTCTCTCTCTCTCTCTCTCTTCCTCTCTATCTGTTTCTCTTTCTCTCACTCTGTTTTTCTCTCTCTCTTTGTCTCTTTATCTTCCTCTCAATCTCTGTTTTGTCTTTCTCTCACGCTCTCCGTTTCTTTCTCTTTGTGTCTTTGTTTCTCTTTCACTCTCTCTCTGTCTCTCTCTCTCTCCCCCCTCTCTATATAGATGTATATATCTGTCTCTCTCTTTATCTTTCTATCTCCATTTCTTTCTCTCACTCTGTTTCTTTCTCTCTCTCTCTCTTTATCTATCTTCCTTTCTATCTCTGTTTCTCTTTCTCTCACTCTCTTCTGTTTCTTTCTTTTTCTCTCTTTATCTATCTTCCTCTCTATCTCTGTTTCTCTTTCTCTCACGTTCTCCAGTTTCTTTCTCTTTGTGTCTTTGTTTCTCTTTCACTCTCTCTCTCTGTTTCTCTTTCTCTCCCTCTGTGTGTTTGTTTCTCGGTGTGTATGTATGTTTCTCTTTCTCTCACTGTCTTTTTCTCTCTCCATCTCTCTCTCCCTGTGTCTGTCTGTCTGTCTGTCTTTCTCTCTCTCTCTATGT